ATTTTAACTCTAGCCAAGACTTGGCCACTGATTTGTGTTTTACACAGTGTGATGAATCCTTTGCTGCCCCCCGGCTCCCCTTTCTTTTGCTGATAAAAGAGAGGATCTCTGAAATCTGAAAATGTATATTATAGAATTTGTAGCTTTCCCTTTGCCAGCACTATTAAGAACAGTTTCCATTGAACAAGGGCACTTTAGTCTTACAACTTTTAACTAAGAAAAGTAATCATATGATATATATCTATTTCTACTTTGTAGTCTTCTGCCCTGTTGTCACATAACACAAGACTTGATGCATACTGGTCTGTATCTTGTCTGTCTTTAACAATGTCCAGTAATCTCTTGGGAGAATTGGAAGCTAGGATTGAGAATGTTCTGTGCATCAACAATGCGCTTGTTCCTTGAGCCAAGTGGAAATATAGGCAAGTGAACTGCAGAAATTTCTAGAAGGTAGTTGTATCTGAGTGTAAGTCTTAGCTGGAATTCCTTAATCAATAACTCCTTTCATAAGTAGGAGTTTTTGAATTGATATGTTATTTTTATCCTGTCTATAGTCATTTGTCATGGTCTCTGGGGAGTGTATTTATTAGTTAAGCTTTCCCTTTTTTTTGTACATCATTTTAGTACCTGAAACTCTATTACAGGTTTCCCTGGTTTAATGTTAGTACAGTGCACCATTTCTGTAGTGAATATGCTTGCATCAGACATCCCACTCAGTAATTCAGTAATCTAGGGAGGCATCTACACAGATGTGCATTTTCTCCAGCTCGGTTTATTGTGCCTGACACTCAAGAATCATACTTGAATTTTGTGAAAGATAGTATCCTTTTCCAGGTCTGCTATGTTGCCTGTTACTATTCTAGTTCATGTCTGATTCAACACATTATCATTCTCACTTGCAAATAGAAGGCAACGGCTGGATAGAGGTTAATGATATAATTGTAAGAGATGAGACAAAGTTAGCCAATTTAAGAGTTATACATCTTTTCCTAAGCAAATCATTGTGGATTACTGAATGCCAGAATTCACAATGACCTGAGATCTTGATTTTGAATTTTTTTCAGTGTGGAGTGCATCATCTTCATAGATAGAGAACACACTAGTGCAGCAGGAAGGATGTAAATACTAGCTGGCTATATATATAGCACTGCTGGTCATTAAGTTTTTGTACTAATATGGATATCAGATCTGGTGTTCACACTCCCTTGTGCTGAACAGTTTTTTCTAATTTCCTGGAGAAATGGGACTATATGGCCTTTCCCTGCTATACTGTTTCCTATGGCTATGTGTCCGCTGCACACCACTTGTGGCACTGTGTAGGGTATGTGTACAGTGAAAGGCAGACTGTGCAACATTGCAGTGTGTAGCTGCATGTGTCAGTGAGAGGCTCTAGTGGCGGCAGGCAACAGGAAAAGGCTTGGCAGTGAGGAGCTGTCAGAGCCTTTCCCCGCTGCCATAGTCTTTCCCTGCAGGAGCAAAAGAATCCAGCAGCTCCCTGTTGCGGGGGGAAAAGGTCTGGTAGCGCGGAGCTGCTGAAGACTTTCCTTGCTGCAGGAGTCTTCCCCTGTGGTGTGCGATATTTTGAGGTCTAAATGCCAGACTCACTCTTTAATAAGACTGTCCCCAAGTAGTTGCACAAAAAGATAAATGGGTAATGAACCAATACTGATTTTCCCATAGAATTTTAGAGTGATATTTTTCTGGTGAAGTGTATACTAGCTGTGAGACAAGGTGGATGAGGTAATACGTTTTATTGAACCAACTTCCTTTGCTGACGGAGAAAAGCTTGGCCAATAAAAGATATTACCTCAACCACCTTGTGTCTCTAATATCCTGGGACCAACACAGCTACAACTACGCTTCATAGCTATTAGCGTCATTCACCTTTGAGCACACTTCAAGAATATCTGATGTGTAGTAAAATGACTCTTTGCCTTATTCGGACCAATTATTTCCTAAAATAAATAAAAGTCAGTTTAATCTGGAGAGTACCTGATAATCTGAGAGGTTTGACAAGACCATCCAGCAAATGTTGGAAAGATTTATGGAATGGGTATAATATGCACCTACCGTTATTACTTATGCCTCAGTTTTTGGCTACCCAACTTTAGACACTTAAGAGGGGAGGGGGCCTCACTTTTTTAAAGAAAGTGCTGAGCACCCATGCTTTGAAGATCAAGCCCCTTTTATGTCTCAGCTTGAGTGACCAAAAACCAAGGCACCCAAAATCAATAATAACTTATGAAAATGTAAATGTCTGGAGGCTTTCAATTGACTCAAGGATTTATGACTGGAGCAAGAGGAGAACAAAGGTCTCTTACTTACTGGGTACCAGACTTTAAGTCAGAATCTAGTTACTGGTCTCCACCTGAGGTAGCAGAGCTGTGTGCTACCTCTTGCTCAGGGCTTATGAAAAAGCCACAGTTTAGCCCTGAATATGTAGCAGTGTCATTGGCAAGTGTTAGAGAGTTAGATGTCATAAAAGGAGCATACTGTTCCCACTCAATTGTCTAGGCACTGTGCAGGGATTACAGAGAAACAAAGAGATCTGTCCTTGAGGGACAGTAAAAATTCAGATGCATGAAGACTTTTGACAACATTTGGTATTGCTCCGGTTTATGCTTGTAAATTAAAAATGGCAAGGGGGAAACAGCTTTTGACCCATTAAGAGTTCAGGGGTTTAAACTGAGCTCCATGAAGTAGTGATCAAGAGGGAGATTTTCAAAAACACCTAGGGGATTTCAGAGCACAAACCCCATTGATAGCCAATGGGACTTGTGCTCCTAAATCCCGTAGGCACTTCTGAAATATCTTCCCTGCCCATAATCTTCATTTGTGACTTGTACAAAACCAGTTATGCTGTTGGTGTTTAGCAAAACATTACAAGGCCATCTCATAAACTATGCTTTTGGGGAAGTAAGCATTTGATAAGGGCTGGCTTTTGTAGGAGGTGTTAGGGTCTAGTTTATGTGTTCTTTAATTTGATTTTTGGTTTTGGTTAGTTATTTACTTATTTTTCTGGCTTTTGGGAAGGCTGCTGGGTTTTATTATATCGCTTGTATTTTAAAATTATGTCAAAGGTGCCTAGAATTCAAAATAATCACTTTTTTCTCTGTTAAATCTAAAATAAAGTAACAAATAATAAATAATTAGGTTAATAGAATTAACAATAATCTTGGTGCACTAAAATGAAAATCTTTCTAAGTAACTCTAATTTTGACCTAAAAGTAAATAATCTGGAAGTACAACAGTTAAAGTGGATATGTCGTCCTCAGCTTATTCTTACTCTTAGAAACTGAGATACATGGAACAATTTGAGAAACAGTATGAGGCCAAAGTTTCAGAAACTGACTTCCCTCCCGCTCCCACTACTATAATTTGAAAACAATGTTTTAGCTGTTCCTTTTTTTTTTTTCTTTCCATTTTTTGATTGCTCACAGGTTAATACCTTGTATGTCATGTTTTAGCCTAGAGCTGAGGTTTATGGCACAGTTATAAACTATGGAAATGAGGAGTTTATAATCGAAAAAATTGAAACCATAAAAACAGTATTTGAAGTGAAGTGACCTATTGCCACTTTATATTACTAGAGTGATAACATCATAGCAGCAGAAAAGCAAAGTTTGTGTTGAACAGGTATTTAACAGGCGAGATCCAAAGTCCATTTGATTCATTGGAAGTCTTTAATGAGCTTTGGATTCAGCCCCAACTGGTCAGTATATCCAGGACAGACACAGCATTTCACTGTTTGTTAATTGATGGATTTCAGTTTTTAAAATGTTCCCATCTTTTTCTTTGGGCATATGTACACATAATGTAACATTAGAGCAACATTGCAGACCAAGAACTAAGAAATATAATAACCCCCCCCAAATCACAATTCCTCAGAAAACTCTCCCACTCGTTCACACAACTATTCATCCTTTCCCCTTTTCCTCCTTGAAAAAAACTTGAGAGTACAAATGAGCTTTGCAACATGAACTGAAGGTCAGCAAATTCAAGCTGTGGCAGGCCAAAGTTGGAAGCAAATTCCTCAGTCTAGGACTTGTGAATATAAAGGCACTGCCAACAGCACCCCTGCAATAAAGGAGGTGTTAGCTTGGACACCTCACATTATCTCAACTACATTGATGTTGCATGGCAGATAGATGGTATCCGAGGTATCCTGGACCCAGCCTATTTAAGGTTTTTTGTATCATAGTAAATATATTAAAACAAACTGGGAGCCAGTGGAGCTCACAAAACACAAAGTACTGTGCTCCCTGTGAGAAACACCCTTAAAATTCAGCTGCTGAAGTAGCTGAAGTTTTTGAATGATCTTGTGTGGAGAGTATTGCAACAATCCAGTCTCAGGGGGACAAAATGTTGCTTACTGCCGCAGGATTTCTGCATTTGAAAGAAGAAGATGGAATCTCCTGGTCAGGCATAAATATTAAAGCACCATGGGGCACTGCTGCTACCTAAGATTTGCAAAACTACAAGTGTAGGCAGACTCCAGGGTTGGAAAGGCAGTAACAAAAAGCAGACAAATTCCCTTAATGGAAGGACTCATAGTACCTCTGCCAGTTCTCCTAGGAGGTGTACCCAGTCCAGCAACATAACCTCAGTCTCATCTGGGGTGAATCTGAACCAGTTCACCCTCAAACTTTTGCATTATCATTTGCTAAATATGTTACATGCTACTTACCTCTGTCTGCATCTTTGAGACCTAAGTATATCTCCACCTCTGGAAATTGTGCTATTAGTCACTGCATATTAACATATATGTCAAGTATCAGGGGATAGCCGTGTTAGTCTGTATCCACAAAAACAACAAGGAGTCCGGTGGCACCTTAAAGACTAACAGATTTATTTGGGCATAAGCTTTCATCACTTCTTCAGATGCACGAAAGCTTATGCCCAAATAAATCTGTTAGTCTTTAAGGTGCTACCGGACTCCTTGTTGGTTTTTTTGCATATTAACATAGATATCATTTAGACATGCCAATAAAATAACTTACCAGATGGTTTATCAGTTGAAGTTGGACTGCTAGTAACTGGTGGCATGGTTGGTAGATTAGGTGGTAGAACCTTTAAATTCTGATCACTTTGAATCTCATTGGTAGCTATTTGGTTAATAATGCGATTGTAAGTAGGAGGCTGATACATTCTGTTAGGTGGTTGGGGAGGTTGGGGTATTGGCTTAATGGATGGCATTCTTTGACAATGTTCTTCTAGCTGTGCAATAATTACAGACTGGTTATTGGCAATTGTCACCAAATGTTGATATTTGTACTCTAGGTCCTTGTATTTGTTTGCAAGTTGCAACATATCAGCAGTTTGGTTCAATATCTTATTTTCAAGCTGGGAAAGTTCTAATGCATTGTCCCGTTTTCGAATAATTTCATGTAGCAGCTGCATATAAAGTTGTGTGACACGAGAGTTCATATTCCGACTTTCTTTTCGTAAAAGTTTAACCTCATTAACAATCCCACCATCCACCTCCACCAGTTGCTGAAGAGTTTCTATTTGTCTCTTTTGCTTTAGAAGTTCATTGTTAAGCAGCTCTAATTCTTGTTTATTTACGCGGTTTTCAAGAAGAACCTCAGGCTCCTTTGAATTAACACAAATGGCACCTGTCACTTTCTGCTGAGGTACAATAAAGGTATAAGTGCACTTGTCCTGTGTGTCGCTGGACCGCTTATACCTGTTCATGTAAATGAATTCTTGCTCTGTGCCCTCGTCACTGCTTTCAAATTCCTGTGTCTTGCTAGCAGTCACTCCCATGACTGCAATTAGTAATAAACAAGTTAATCTTGCTGCCTTCATCATTCTTTATTTTTGGATACTTTTTCTTCTACAAATGAACTTCTAAAATCTGTTTAAAAATAAAAATAAAAAAGTTATTTAGTAATAGAAAATGAATGAATGTGAATAAGAAAATTAACAACTGCTGTATTCATTGGGAAGTCTTAACAAAATCTCTTCAAGTGGTAAGTGATGATATGAAAATATACATATTTTCATGCCGACAAATATGGTACACTTTTCATGTCTGGTAAGAGCTTCCACCAGATAAAGATAAAAAAAATGATTGAGAGGCTACTGAGCTTCATGGAGGCAAGTTATAACTTACTAGCATCCTGTTTCCAGATCCTTGGTTAATAAATTGTGAAACATTGCTATAATTTCTCACCACTCACCTTAAGGAACTGAATTAGTAAAAAGTAAGTCCATATTTCCAGGACAGTGCCATCAGTTTCTCAGAAATTCATTTAAATAAAAATTAAGTTTTCATCCCTTACACTTGCAAAAATAATCTTAAAATGTGAACAGAATGTAGCTGATCCTGTGCTGTTACCGTTTCTAAAATGCACTAGATTAGGGCTGTCAAACTGTTTAAAAAAAAAAAAAAATCGCAATTAATCCAAGATTTAAAAACATAGTCGTAATTAATCGCAGTTTTAATCACACTATTAAACAATAATGGAATACCAATTTAAATTCATTATAAATATTTTGGATATTTTTTTACATTTTCAAATATATTGATTTCAATTACAACACAGAATACAAAGTGTACAGTGCTCACTTTATATTATTATTATTTTTATTACAAATATTTTCTCTGTAAAAAAGATAAAAGAAATAGTATTTTCCAATGCACCTAATACAGGTACTGTAGTGCACTCTCTTTTTGTAAAAGTGCAACTTATAAATGTAGAATTATATTTTTTAGGTCTGTCGATTAATCGCAGTTAACTCATGCGATTAACTCAAAAAAATTAACTGCGATTAAAAAAATCATGATTAATCGCACTGTTAAAAAATAGAATACTAATTGAAATTTATTAAATATTTTTTGATGTTTTTCTACATTTTCAAATATACTGATTTCTATTACAACACAGAATTCTATCCCTGCTTCTGCCACAGATTTTCTGTGTGATGCTCAACAAATAACACACACATTTTCATTTGTGGCCACTAATTGTGTGTTCCCCATTTTCTGGGTACCCAACTTGAGACTCTGGGGCTGAACATTCAAAGCTGCAACTGAAGCCAATAGGAGCTGTGCTTTAAACATATCCAAGTGCTATAAAATGCTAAGCACTCTGAAAAATCAGGCTCTAGATGGCTCAAATTGGGCAGTCAAAATTAGTGGACATGGGCAACTTTAATTCTAGCATTTCCCAATTATTGCGTGTTTGACTTTACAACCTTAATGTTCTGTTAACACCCTTTTTGTATTTATGGTAATGCCTGTCACATGCTTTCCAAATGTTCAGGAAGGTCAGTTCCTACTCTGAGGAGCTCACAATCTATGGAGACTGGAACTTTTGCCACTGTGACAGCTAGATTTGCTCAGAGCATATTTAGATAACATGATAGTAAGAAGGCCTGTGCTCTGTATATGCCTGTCCCTCCACCCTGGGAGTTCCACTAGTGGAACTTGCACTGGTTCTTGATTAGCTGTAATAAAGTTGTTGAAAAATTTCCAGTGTAGGTACACCTCCCTAAGAACATATTAACCTGAAGGGGAGGGCAAGAAGAAGATGGGGGGGGGGGGGGAAACCTTACTGTACTGCTGTTAATGGCATTAGTATTATTTCTTCAGGAATCTCCTTGCTCTTTGCTTTTGTGGCCTTGTTATGAGGAAAGCAAACGAGAGAATGGAGTCCGTACATTTGTATAGTAAGGCCTTGCCATTCTAAGCAGGGAATATTGTAGTATTAATAATTTATTTATTTACTGAGTAAAATGAAATTAAATGGCAACTCTCTTTAACATAAAATTTTTACAGAGCATCATGCTAATAATTAATGTGCCTGTGTAGATAATTTTTACAGATAATTCACATACTCTGAGTAAAAATATAATTGAAAGTCATTGATAGTATTATGTTACTTGATACAAATTAAAGAGAGAGAATTGTAGTGAGGCTTGGTTAGTATGTTTCAGTAAATGATACAAGAAAACTCTATCAGCAATGATTTTTGTGGATCTTTTTGAAAATTGTTTATGCCCCATGTGTCTCAAATTTTAGTATAACTGGAATGAAACTCCTTTTCATTTTGTAAATAGAAAGGGATTGTGGCTTATGGAGTTTGGCAAGAATCTTGAGAACTTGTCAGATACAAGTTTTGGGTTCAGCATGTCCAAAGGTGCAAGGAACTGGCTGTTACAAACAAGTTCCATGTATTCTTTAAAGCAGAATCCTTTGAAAATTCTGGAAAAATAAAGAACATAAATTAAAATGACCCCAAATAGCTCTAACTTTCATAACCAGCATTTGCACAGCAGGTCACACTTGGTGACCCTGGCAGGTTGCCAGAGCTCATATTTCCACACAGATGAAACCATTCTTGTAAATGCCTGCAGCACAGTAGATGTAAAATGGCTTTGATTTCAGTATTTGAATTGCAGACCTTTTCTCTTTAAAACCTGTTTATTATGACCCATGGAAAGAAACTCTGCCCCCCCCCCCTCAGAGTTCAGACTAGACTGTGCTGAATCTTTTCTTCCTCTCATATCCCATTGTGACATGGAGGCCCATTGGTACCAACAGGCAAAGGCTTCCCTGTTTTTTACAAGCAACTCCTGTCTCAGGCCAGACAAACTCACTATGACTAATACACCATTTTCATAGTATTTATCCATGAAGGGTAGCATGAGTTCTCTACTGAAAGCTTGTAACTTATCAATACTCATAATCATTGAGAGATGTGTGTGGGTAATATTTAAGGAATAATGTAACTATGTTGAAAACTATGCCTTATGGTCTTGGAGTAAAGGTTAGCCACCAGGGAATCATGTCTCACTCACGTGATTAACTCAAAAAAGTATTCACGATTAAAATAATTAATCATGATTAATCACAGTTTTAATCGCACTGTTAAACAATAGAATGCCAATTGAAATTTATTAAATATTTTTGGATGTTTTTCTACATGGATGACTGGGCAACAAAATGGCAGATGAAATTTAATGTTGATTAATGCACATTGGAAAGCATAATCCCAACTATACATATAAAATGATGTGGTCTAAATTAGCTGTTACCACTCAAGAAAGAGATCTTGGAGTCATTGTGGATAGTTCTCTGAAAACATCCACTCAATGTGCAGTGGCAGTCAAAAAAGCAAACAGAATGTTGGGAATAATTAAGAAAGGGATAGATAATAGGACTGAAAATATCATGTTACCTCTATATAAATCCATGGTACACCCACATCTTGAATACTGTGTGCAGATGTGGTTGCCCCATCTCAAAAAAGAGATATTGGAATTGGAAAAGGTTCAGAAAAGGGCAAGAAATTAAAGAAATTATTGGGGTATGGAACGGCTTCTGTATGAGGAGAGATTAATAAGACTGGGACTTTTCAGCTTGGAAAAGAGACAGCTAAGGGGAGATACGATTGAGGTCTATAAAATCATGACTGGTGTAGAGAAAGTAGATAAGGAAGTGTTGTTTACTACTTCTCATAACACAAGAACTAGGGGTCACCAAATGAAATTAATAGACAGCAGGTTTAAAACAAATAAAAGGAAGTATTTCTTCACACTACACACAGTCAACCTGTGGAATGCCTTGCCAGAGGATGTTGTGAAGGCCAAGACCATAACAGGGTTCAAAAAAGAACTAGATAAATTCATGGAGGATAGGTCCATCAATAGCTATTAGCCAGGATGGGCGGGAATGGTGTCCCTAGCCTCTGTTTGCCAGAAGCTGGGAATGCATGACAGGGGATGGATCACTTGATGATTCCCTGCTCTGTTCATTCCCTCTGGGGCATCTGGCACTGGCCACTGTTGAAAGACAGGGTACTGGGCTAAATGGACCTTTGGTCTGACCCAGTAGGGCCATTCTTATGTTCTTATATTAATTTCAATTACAACACAGAATCCAAAGTGTACACTGCTCACTTTATATTATTATTTTATTAGAAATATTTGCACAGTAAAAATGATAAACAAAAGAAATAGTATTTTTCAGTTCACCTCATACAAGTACTGTAGTGCAATCTCTTTATCATGGAAGAGGAACTTACAGATGTAGAATTATCTACAAAAAATAACTGCATTCAAAAATAAAACAATGTAAATCTTTAGAGCCTATAAATCCATTGTCATATTTCTTGTTCAGCCAATCTCGCAGACAAACAAGTTTGTTTACATTTGGCTCTAAAGTTTTACATTGTTTTATTTTTGAATGCAGTTATTTTTTGCACATAATTCTACATTTGTAAGTTCCACTTCCATGATAAAGAGATTGCACTGCAGTACTTGTATTAGGTGAATTGAAAAATACTATTTCTTTTGTTTTTTACAGTGCAAATATTTGTAATCAAAAATAAATATAAAGTGAGCACTGTACATTTTGTATTCTGTGTTGTAATTGAAATCAATATATTTGAAAATTTAGAAAACACAAAATATTTAAATGGTATTCTATTATTGTTTAACATTGCAATTAATTGCGATTAATTGCAATTATATTTTTTAGTCGCTTGACAGCCCTAGTTGTAATCACTTGTTTCCATCACTCTCTCTCGTTTTGAGTGGAACCTCTATTCTTTCTTAAATAAATCTCCTTTTGTTTTATTATAAATGCTCATAAGTGCTGTGCACTATGCAGGAGCACTGATTTAAGGTAACACTGGGGTACACTGTTCCTTTGGGAGCAAAGGATCTGGAATTTCTCAGTAGCTGAATATCACCGGGGAATGTTTCAAGGGGATCTACCAGGCAAAGACAGCATAGCACGGAGGAGAGTGGTTTAGTGGCTGATAGGTTAGTAGTATTAGGGAGCTAAAACCCAGCTACCACAGGCAAGACTCCTTCTCACTAGAGGCAGGGGGATAACAAGGTGACTCT